TGCAGGGTGGGTAAAGCCATACCCAATAGTGTTTCGACAGGCTCCGCATCACTTGACTCAAGCACTCCCCGGTGTACATGAAGCGTGGCGCACTTCGAAACACCAAACTCCAGGCCAATGGCTGAAGCTGTGATCTGCGCGACGTTGATCATGGGCTTCAGCTGGTTGCGATGTTTGGCATACAATTTAATGTCATCCATGTACAGGAGTTGAGAAACGACCTTTGAGACCTGTCCAATTTGCATTTGATATCCGCCGCCTGTCTTCTGCACCTCTCTTGAAATGCAGTTAATAGCTAAGCAAAACAAGAGGGGTGATAGCGTGTCTCCTTGGAAGATACCACGGCGAATCCTGACAGATTCTGTTGAGACCCGTGCATTTTTGATATGATAAACTCATGTGTGTATTCCAGAGCTGCATGCTTGCCTCCAAGAACTTGACAAGAGCTGGGCTAAATTTGTACATCTCTAGCATCCGAATAATCCATACATGAGAAACGCTGTCATAGGCTTTCTTGAAGTCGATATACGCAACAGAGATATTGCGCTTATTATGCCGAGCGTGCTCCATTATCATCTTATTGACAAGAAGTTGCTCCTTACAGCCTAGTGTTCCCGGGGTACACCCTCTCTGTTCATCTGGGAGTATCGAATTGGTGTCAATGTGTTTCCACATGAGACTAGCAACTACGGCTGTCAGGATCTTGTATTGTGTGGGTAGACAGGTGATAGGGCGATATTGGGCTGGGTTAGATGTGGGTGGCTCCGTCTTGGGCAGCAGGATTGTGCGGCCAGTCACCAACCATTCAGGAATTGGCCAATCACCGACAAGGGTCTTCTGGAAGGCGATTCGCAGGGCAATGTGTAGATTTGATAATGTTTTCCACCAGTAACCATGACTTGCGTCTACACCACTAGCTTTCCACCTGCTGACCTTAGCTAGCGTGTCCTGGAGTGCCCGTTGAGTCACAGATACGGGTTCATACTCTGCAATGGTAGTCTCATATTCCACTCTTTGTTCTTGATACCACCCTGATGACTCATCAAACGGCACAGGCTTGGCTAGTATACCAGACCAGAACTCGAATACGGCACCCTCACTCGGTAATTCCCCGGGTTGCTGCTGCTCCGGTTCCTTTCTCAGTCTACGGTAGAATTCTTTCTCATTTGTGCAGAATAGTGTGTTAGCTCTCCTGCTCTCCCAGATGTGTTTATCACGTCTTGTCCTCTCCGCTAGCTCAAGCAATTCCAGCTTCCTCTGTTCCAGGGCGTATCCAATCTGGGAAGTGTGGGATATTCCGTACTGAGCAAAGAACCGTTGGTGCTTGACAGCAGGGTTTTTCAACATCATCGTTAGTCGAGATATATCTGCCCGTAATTTCTTCGCTTTGTTGCGCGATTTTACTAACCAAGTCGGTTCCGGTGGTCGCGAGCTCGCCGGTTTGCCACTAGCGTTTTCACCGTTCGTCTCAGACAAGGAAATGCCACATCTGGTCAAGGAACATCGAGCAGCAACATATACTAAGCAATTGAGATCTTCCATTTGAAGATCTTTGTTTTTACTAGTGGTGTTGATCACTCCAGGGATTGCTTTGTTCACAAGTGATGTCACCTGATCGAGTTTGCGTTGAGGCACATGGCGAGGTACAGGTAACCTAGGACTTTCGGACATGGGTACATTTCTCCATCTCAAGTATGCCTCACTGAGCGCGTTAGTGGTGTCAGTGTTGAGTGCATCCATGGCGTCAGTTTCTCCATCTTGAGGATGAGTAAGGTCAGTGCTGCTTTGTGAAGGCATCCCCTGCACTAGGTTGTCACTGCTTGTACCAGTAGCTACTAGCACAGCTGTAGCAGGCTGCAGGCTGTCACGTCCCTGCTCTGGAGGTGTCAAAGCCAGGGCTGCTCCAGCATTCAAACCCGTAGGTGTAGATGCAAGTAGCAGTGTAGCCTGCGTCGCTGGTGTAACCTCGGAGAGATCACCCATACTAGTACTACCAGTACCAGCAGCACCACCAGTACACAGCTCAGCATGCTCATCAGTCTCCACGGTTACATTACAGTTAGTTTCATCAGCTGAGTTGGTTTCCATGGTGGTAGAAGTTTCAGACGCTCTTTGGTTCCGCTCCTCCATCATCTGCTTCCGCAAGACGTCTTCTTCCACCTTCGAAATTTTCTTGTTTTTAGTGATATATCGCCTTCTATCCGCCAACAGACCCTCACTCACCGGTCTATCAGGCCTCATAGCGGTCCATATATCATGCATACGCCGCACGTACCAAAGCTGCAGCCGTCCACACTCGGTGGCAAGCAAGTACGCCTTTATCACATCCCGGTTGTCCTCCCATGTCCATTCCAATCTCCTCCGCGCACGAACAGGAGGGACAGCGCAATCCTTTCCCGAGTGATCCATTACACATCATATCCTTAGTAAACTTGGGTCTTTTTCCCTCCCCCAGGGGACCAACCACGGTCAGTTTCTGGAAACTACCAGAGGTGAAAGAAAGTGATTTAATTTGGAAAGGATTGGGAGAACTTCAAATTCAAAGGATCAGTCGGGGAAGTGAACTGCCTGAAAAGAGAAAAAACGCCAGACCCACCAGGACTCGAACCTGTGCCATCAGTATGTGTGGCACGTGTTGTGAGCTGCCTTTGGAGTGAAAAACTTGTCAGCGCCTTCTACGTTCAGCCTGGTCCCATAGCTCAGTGGTTAGAGCATTGCTCATGACAAGCAGGGTCCCAAGTTCGAGTCCTGGTGGGTCTGGCGTTTTTTTCTCTTTTCAGGCAGTTCACTTCCCCGACTGATCCTTTGAATTTGAAGTTCTCCCAATCCTTTCCAAATTAAATCACTTTCTTTCACCTCTGGTAGTTTCCAGAAACTGACCGTGGTTGGTCCCCTGGGGGAGGGAAAAAGACCCAAGTGCCATCAGTATGTGTGGCACGTGTTGTGAGCTGCCTTTGGAGTGAAAAACTTGTCAGCGCCTTCTAGGTTCAGCCTGGTCCCATAGCTCAGTGGTTAGAGCATTGCTCATGACAAGCAGGGTCCCAGGTTCGAGTCCTGGTGGGTCTGGCGTTTTTTCTCTTTTCAGGCAGTTCACTTCCCCGACTGATCCTTTGAATTTGAAGTTCTCCCAATCCTTTCCAAATTAAATCACTTTCTTTCACCTCTGGTAGTTTCCAGAAACTGACCGTGGTTGGTCCCCTGGGGGAGGGAAAAAGACCCAAGTGCCATCAGTATGTGTGGCACGTGTTGTGAGCTGCCTTTGGAGTGAAAAACTTGTCAGCGCCTTCTAGGTTCAGCCTGGTCCCATAGCTCAGTGGTTAGAGCATTGCTCATGACAAGCAGGGTCCCAGGTTCGAGTCCTGGTGGGTCTGGCGTTTTTTTCTCTTTTCAGGCAGTTTACTTCCCCGACTGATCCTTTGAATTATTATTATTATTATTATCTTTATTTGAGAGATGACCCAGAGGCGGGTAGCCAATCGAGGGGTCTCAATTTGTGCGATATTGAATAGGTAGAATACCAAGGCGTGAGGGAATAGAATAAATTAGCCAGACACATGGAATGGGACAGAAAAACTTCAAAGGATAGTCTGATGTGCAATTACTGCTGAGGTGTGCATTCTGGTTTGCTTCCCCATACGCATTATTCGATGTGGGTTCATCAATGACCATCGAAGAAAAAACGTTTCTGAATCCTTTTCTTCACATTCATTTTATTTCATTAGTTTATCATGGTATTATGTCGGCGTCAATTTTTTTATTCCTAGCTTTTTTGAAACTTCTTTCTCCGTAACCGCTTAATGGTAGTTCAGCTTGACAATATGCAAGACGTTTAACAGTATTCGAAAACAGGAACTTCTTCCTAACATGTGCAGAACCACATACATGTAGCATGCATCTCAGGCTTGAGGTTTTAACGAGAATAATACCCTGAGGATGCACTCAGTGTGCTGAGATTGCTCAATAGCACGAAGGCAAAGAGTATTCCATGGAACAAAAATGGTACAAGGCTAGCTCGGTGCTCTGATTTTGGAATCATTAGGCTTAAAGATGATGTTGGCTAAGCCAGTATAATTGTAAGTAATTAATTACAATACAAGAACACGCGAATGTCCCTGGTTCGAGTCCTGGTGGTGACAGTCAATTTTTTCTTCAGACTTTTCCCGTTTGTCTCTTTCCCTCAAACTAGTGAATACAAAAACAAATTCCCAAAAATGTCCTTGCATACCTGGCGTGGCCAACAGTATTTTCATGTTGCCTGACGATTGCATACCATGACGTTCAGAATTCCAAAGACCAACCCTTGTGCCTTTGTTGTTCTGTCCGAAGAGAAAAGTACACTGATTGCTGCTCTGTGCTTACACCACATCTGAGGCTGGGTTTTTTAAAGCCTCTTAAAGCCTCTTATGCGGGCAATCACAGAACATGATTTCACTGGCCTGACGCAATAACTACACACTCTGAGGCTGGGTTTACGCGGCAACGAAGTACAACCGAAAGGGAACGAAATTGTGGCCTTTACTTGAGTACTACTATCGTTTACAAGACAACGCATGAAAAGGCACCCCTAAACGGAACGAAATGGAAACGAACTTCAAAGTGTTTTGAAACGTTTTCGAAATGTTTTCGCTCTCGTGTAAACAGTGAAAGCGATTGGAAACGGAGTGCGGTCATGGAAACCATTCCGCGCGGGGAATATTCAAACCAAGTGCACAAACAGCATTCAGGAGTTAGCCAGCTCGAACTAGCGTGTTATATTCCGCTCTTACGCCAGACTTGCGCGGCCTAACTCCAGCCTGATCGCCTGTTTTCCGTTTTCGTGCAAACGGTTCAAAACGATTTGCCGTTCTCGTGTAGATGGTTTAGAAACGATTCGAGGACAGTGCGTTTTGGTTCCGTTCCGTTTCGTTTCGTCTCCGTGTAAACGCAGCCTGAGTACTCTCAGCCAATTGGGTGAACTCTGTGTGAGGAGAACAATTCAAAACTCCAATGAAGATTCTCACCTCTGCTGATGTTCGCATGCCATCGATTGCATGCTCCGACCCATCGTACGTGGAGTTGCCGTAATGCAGGTGGAAACTGTGCAGCTTGTAGTGAGTGACTCCCACCGGTCCACCTGTAAACCACGTGTTAGAGGAACCATAGGCGAATCCCGTTGGTGCGTCGCCGACGTTCTCCAAGTGATAGACATCTGTTGTTGCGTTGCTGGTGATATTCAGCGGTGGATAACTCGCGTACATTGCACTCGCCGTTGGGATGTTGATGGGTGATTGCTCAGTTCCCGTTCCGCATGTTTCGAAACCCGGGATATTGCCCCAGTTTGCAGGGCCTGAAATTTAAGCAACCATTTCCAAAAGAACAGTTAGCGAAGGTCTCGCGTGGTGAAACGAAATAAACCTAGGCTACAGAAAATTAGTACCGTATTTGCTGTTGTATACGCCACACCCGTTCCTCATTTCTTTTGTTCATTTGGCTTATTCGAAGACTAGCCCAGGTTGATTGGTGATGTCAACACGAACAAGCTTATAATAATACTTCGAAGTAATACTAATAAGCCGCACCTTAAACACCAGTAATTCAGCTGAACAAAAACGGTGCGGCATATACTGCTATGACCAAGTGACCCATTTAAGGCGGTAAGCAGGGCAGATGACCACTTTGTCCCAAAAACATGTGGGTGCCGCTTATACATGTACTCCGGAAAGTCACTGATGTGACCAGCATGTTGGAATCTACGTGTACATATACTGAGGCCACTTCTTTGAAGCCCCCGCCGAGTGTCGTTATTCGCAAAGTTGGCTGTACATGTATTGCACATGATAATTATATCACCTACTGAGCAAGGTGAATTGACAACCGAAAATGCAGAAAATTAATCGTCAAAGTTTGATGGTGGGCTAATATTTTTTACAAGACAAATACATAGTTATTTCACGGTTCACGCGAGGCTCTGTTAGACTGAGTTTTCCGCATCAGTATGATTGTCACCACCCTCAAGAATCAAGGCGCAGATGCAGCCCCAGAAGCGGAACACTTCCAATCATAGATAACAGAATTTTATTAATGCAGAGTAAACTATGAAGCTGTAAGCTGTTTAATGATTGTGCAACCTACCAATGTTGGAAGATGGGTCGTAATTCCAACTCTGACTCGCCACTTGGCTACATGAAACAGCTGCAGTTGATATCGACGGCATCAGCAAACAAGAAAACACTCGGGATTTTCCATAGACACCTTGTGCTGAGGGCAGACTGAATTATTATTTTGATAATTATTAGTCAATTTGTTGGGTGAGCCCATTGACGTTACTAGTAACTGCCTCTTTTGATCCCCACTTGAAACAAATTTTACAACAACAACATTCGCCTTCTACTTGCTAATCGTTCTTGAAGTTCGTTCACAAGCGATATCTAGTGGCAACTGAATACGTTATGCCTATGTGTGAGATTTGAGTACAATATTCAAACGTTGGCTATGCGTCACATCACATAATGACTATGTAGCCGTGGGATTAAGGGAGACCGGAGATTATCACCTGCAACGATGTGCGTTATATAATGATTTTTTAAATTCCTGATTTGGAAGTTCAACATCATTCGTGGTGCAAATCGCGATGGCTGCCTTGATCTGCCGACCCCAACTCAGCAACGAATCAAGCATGTTCCAGACAAGCGATTCATGCCAGAGAAGTTTTGTTATTCGGCCCCAAGGCAAGGGTGACTGTAATCTGGTAATGGAGGGCTAGATTTCGAAATCCACGTGGCCACATGCACAGAGCTACAGCCGTCCGGGCCGTGTCATTTCCTTGCGCAGTACGACAGTGAACATAAAAAGGCTAGAACTTGACGAAGCAGTAGCCTCTCTTTTTGCATGCTGGTGTTATATTAATTAATTTTTGTATGTCACACTAGAAAGGTAGATACAATCATGTATACCAGCAGTGCGATAGCATCCAGCACTACAAGTTAGTGTAGGCTGAGAGTAAAATATGCCGCTACACAAAGGGGGATGTTTCATCCTGAATGAAGCTTCCCCAAACGGAATCAGGGGGGGGGGGGGGGGCTGCCTGTCATGTAACAATCACGCCTTCTGGCAAATTCTCCCTGCTCTATGAAATGACAGCTAATAAAACCACAACTGTCTCCCCCAACGACCGTACATGTATCATCGCGCAAGAACTATACTACCTGGTCTTAACCAATAATTATTACTAAATGAACGTTTTGTTCAGTGAGGACGGCCTGACCAGAGTCACATCATGTCAAAAAGGACTTGCCTGCTAGGTTTAACGGAGTAGGATTTTAATTTTGCCGTGCTCCGTTTGCATATCAACGATTCACCTTTCAAGCACTGTTTCTGCAAATTCCGGTTCGTGGGCGGCGGGAGGGGGGGGGGGGGGGCGCCTGTATTCCCCGCTGATGGAAAACTCGTGTTTATGGAACTCGTGTTTATGGAATATTTGGAGTGAGAACGAACGATCTAAGAGTAGAGAATACACGGTGACTACATTGGCTGACGATTTCGGCACTATTCATACTTTCTTTGGGGCGGGGGGGGGGTTCCCGGTAGTGCATTGGGTACTCTACTTGCCCGAGACCCGGAAGGTCGCCCCGAAGTCGCACATCCAACTGCAAAATCCCCACGATGAAGTACACTAGATCAAGGTGTGGGTTCTCTTCACTCAGTACAGTAGAGTAGAACGAGTTACAACTCCCCGTGCCGAAAGGCCTGCTCACGCCCCTACATGACTACTTCCCCTTGTCTAGACCCAAGACTAAAATGATAGTAGCAAACCGGCCGAAAAAAAACTTCCTTCATATCAGCAGGTCGAACAGGATTAATTTTTATTGCAACTCGCCCGGGGGGGTCACTTTTGCGCGGTCATCTGGCAAAAATCATTCTTGTCTACACAGTCTACTTGTACACCCCACCATAAACACCTTGGCATTGTCAAGGGGGGGGGGGCGATATACACTTAGCCCCCTCCCCCCATCCTTACCATCTTCACAAGTTATAACCCGAGTCAGACTCATGACGTCATAGTTATACTGTCATTATTGTGTAGGTGCCACGCACCTACAACACGTACATGCATTTGCCAATAATAATAGAAACTCGAAACTCTAGAGTATTTATTTTATTTATTTATTTATTTATTTCTGCACCTCGTGGCATGTCAAGACAGCCAATTGAATTGAGGAGAGGGTGAGACCAACCACGGAAGAAGAGAAAAAAAGAAAATGAAGAGCACGTACACAAAGTGGGAAGGGATTAGCAACTTAAAAAGCAATGGGATGCTCAGCGAGCTATGCAGCGGAAGTGGTGACTGTGACTTTGTTTACTGGGAGATACTGAAGTGCTGTCTGACGAGGGTACGGAATTTGGGCATATCTGGGGCTTGTCTAACACTGGGAGGCAGTTGGAGCCACGTGGAGTAGGAGGAAAAGAAAGGGGAATTTACGAATAGGGTAGACCTAGCTAGGGGGAGACGAACGCAGCTTCGGGTGGTGCCACCTGAATTGAACCAATTAAGGGACTGTAAATGAGCAGGGTGCTGATCAAGAAAAATTGAATGTGCCAGGGTGCACTTGGAAGCATCAAGGTAATGTTGCAGAGTGGTAGTGGATTCAGCAGCATACAAGTCTAGATTTGTGATATAACGATCAGTACGAAATATGATGCGCCGTATACGGCGATGGAGAACTTCGAATTTACCTATGTGGGTTTTGTTAATGGTGGACCAGGCAGGGAAGCCGTACGTGAAGAGGGGAAGAATGTATGATTTATAAAAATTAATCCGGCAATTTTGGGGCAAATGGGACAAGTGACTTGACATTATGCCGACAGATCGGCATACTTTGGACGACACATGATCAGCATGGTGAGACCAGGAGAGGGCGGAATCTATGACAATGCCAAGGTGTTTATGGTGGGGTGAACAAGTAGACTGTGTAGACTATAAGTATAATACTTCAGCACTAAGTCTTGTACTTGTACTGTTGTAGACTACACACGTAACACAGTCTATCAGGCATGGTCTACGGCCCGGATCTACATGTATCATGATCATGCATGTGGAAGGCGGGAGGCCCAAAAATAAAAAAAATGGTAACACCTATTGAGTGAGCGTTATATCTTTTAAGACTGCCAAAGCTAGGAGTTGCAGGTAGGACGATAGTCGCACGTACGCTGTGGTATGACGACAAGCACGGCCTGTACTGTAGTAACTTACTTTGAAGCCACTTGTACCCCGTCATTGTCAAGTGCCAATAAAACAGGTGGCCATATGCGAGTTAGTATAGCTATAGGGGCATCCAGACGAGATGCCAAAATCCCCACATGTGAAACGCATGTTCTTCCACAGTAATCGCGATTGGCGTACTGGTAGTAGTACCGCGTACCGGTATACCACCTTTTCTCTACCGCGTACATGTACATGTATAAGAAAAATTGCCATGCTAGGAGTTTCCTAGCTTCCTGCCATTTCGATGTAAAATCCGTAGATAGAGTGAAAAACCGCCAGTAAAGATGCCACTCATTGTCCGAAGTTGAATGCGTTCATTGAACTGGCAATATCGCTAGATTGAGCGAAGTGAATCCACTAATAATCAAGGGATGAATCAATGAGACTTGAGCAGGTAGGTAGGTAGGTACATTTTTATTTGAATTCGCAGAACCAAACGGGCGGTGTCGCCCAATTACATGGAAGCGAATGGAAACAGTAAAATATTGTAGGAAATAGCCTAACATGATAGAGGTGGTGGTGCTTTCTTGGTTTGCCGAGTACACGGTCCGCTTTCCTTCCTCTGTGCTCCATACGGCAGTCGTGAGTCAGTCAAGTGTCAGGCAGTCGGCGGGAAGCGAGAGCCGCAACATTCGGAGCAGGTAGCCCCTTGTTGTGCAATCACGGCTTTACGCTATTTCATCCGGTTGAAGCACACCTGGCGAGATGGTGGTAGCTATACGCCTGCCCAGAAAGCGCGCTGTAAAGCTGGAAAGTTCCAGAACAGAGGGCTCCTTCTCGTTCCCCAGGGTTTAACCAATATTCGGTGATGCACTCTAACTGAAGATCCTCACATTTCTTACAGTAAGCAAGCGAGCTGCAATGTGGTGAGAAAACCATTTCCTAGTTAACAAACCGTTCCAATAATTACGTATTGCTAAACTAGCACTATGCATTGCCACTTCGAGCATCACGCTAGCCGATAACCAGGCCCTGTAAACCTCTCAATAACTAATACTTGAACATATTCCATGGTTTCGCGTACGGTGCGGGTCAAGAGACACCTTTCCGCTACTGTGGAAAGCCCCCCCCCCCGGTGTAAAACGTATGTTGACTGACCACTGCGAAGCGTTGCACACAGAGTTACAGCACAATGTTCAGTCGCCACGTCTTAGAAACCTCTGCCCAAGGGCACTTGGGAATGTTTCAGTAGTGGAAGTCGCCTTTAACACTATCCATTGAAAGCATTTTTATACATGAAGGTATCACTCACCCAGTGACATAAAGATGATGAACTTCATGGTTAGCGGTTCAGTCCTTCCCACTGGAAACGAACTCTTCACGGTTCGAAGAAGACGAAGAAAATAGCGAAGCTGTTCCCAGATCGGTGAGGGAAATACGGGTGATATCGCTGGTAACGTGAAGTTATATTTCGAACGGTAAGTATGTGCAAAGATGCCAACTTTGCCGAGTGGCAGGCACCAGTTGCACAAGCAAGCCTCACCATGTACGGACAACAGAATCCCTGTGGTGGTCCGCTTGACAACAAGTGCCTGGACATTTTGAACTGGTATGGCGGCTCATTGCGCACAGCTCGAATAGGGTCCGGAGCGCAGTTCCAGTCATGCTGGTGATTATCGCTAATTACTTTAGTAAAAGACTTTATTGTTCCAAGAATATTGGTCCGGGATGATCCACGATATGAATGCATGGCGGTGTGATGGTTGCATTCAAATCCTTTGCGTTTGAGCGTCAGGCAATCTCCACTGGCTGTACCCAAGGCAATAGTCATGTGGCACGTGTACATGTACAGTGTTGTTTTGTACGAACGACACGGTAATCTAGGCTCTAAAAAGTGTGGCCCTCATGACAATATCATGTACCATCATGTAGTCACCATGCATCCACTTAGGAAGCGCCTAGAAGGTAGGCAGACAGCACTTCAGACTAAGTAAGTTGCACTACTTGTAAAGCAGCGCCATATTGCAAACAAATCAATGAATTATGTTGAGCTCTGAACGGTACGTATTGGGTTTCTATGTGGTTACGTTACGCTATATAGATACTTGCCATCCCAAGGTATAGTCCCAAAGTAAAGAAGACTCTTTCAGACCCCAGTACGCCAGTAGGTGGCCGTGGGTTAACAAAGTCATGTACATGTAAATGAAGTACCTGAAGGTAACCTGTACGACCTTAGAAACGATAGTTGAGGACCAGGCCTAGGAACACAAATCCAAGCACGTCAAAGATTAAGCTGGTCCACTTCGGCACCTGTCGCCCCGTACCCTGTGTTGATTAAGGCTTGAGGACCGCATTCAAGGAGCAAGATGAAGAGTCTGAATGGAGTAACAGTACAGCCATGCACATTGTAGATGCCAAACTACATCCAGCAGAGTAATTATTATTAATTTAGCTTCAACGCCCAGGCCAGTGAGGCTGAGGACCCTGTTATGCTGTGGCACCACCTCTTTCCAATTTTGATGATTTGATACCTTCAACTATGACCAAAATTGGCAGAATATGTCTACAGGTGGCATCGCATTTCAACCAATGGGTGGAAGCCTCAATCCTTTTGAGAACCTGGACATGGATCATAGCCATATGCCTGCTTGCATATTCTACTTAATGTAGGAGACCAAAATGCATTCAGCATAATAATATCGACGTCATGCGGCACATGTATCTCTGCACAATGATCACTCCGATGCCATTGATATTTTCGGTACGTTTTCGTTCCCTTCTAATAGGGCTTGAAAGTGATGACGTCAAAACGGCCAGGGAGTAGTAAGTTGACATCAGATTTCTATTTTTGGATCCACTAAGGTGTGACTTTGCTATTGCCTAAGTATGTGGGTGCATAGCAACCCACTCATGTCGCATGCAGGTGTGACTTTTATTTCGCCACCAGTTGTAACCCCGCCCCCAGTAGCCAATTCAGTCAGTTTCACTGGCTACATCACCATGCTGTGGGTAAGACCGCTTGAAATGTGCTTGGATCCATACAAAAACTGGATCCAGGTGGATCCAGTTTTTGAATTTTTGAAATTGTTGCTATGCTGTGACGTAGCACTTTCAAGCCCTATAACAACACGCGTGACAAGGTGGACATTTATCAAGTTTGGAATAACACACATTTGTTATCTTGATGTTTAGTATTCTTATTCTTTAGTTTTTTACCCTATTAATATTTATGGAAAGGAAAAGGACATATGGATACGACCCTTTAAGAGTAATATTTATTTGAAACTCGGATGTTGAGCCATAAATAAATGTGGAAGAGAAAAGGACATATGGATACGAGTTAAGAGTAACTCTCCATCACTGTAACACGATACTATTATACAGTCAGAAAGTGCAATAACTAGGCACAAAACTGACAGAGTACTGAAACATTCGACGTCCTGACACCTAGCTTCAACACATCTCCGTAGCGCTAACCGACAGCCTTCCAACTTGGAAGGTTCAAGGTTATGGAAAAGACCAAAGAGGGGAAGGCAAGCGCAACGAAAACGAGCAAAAGCTACAGTCCCAACGGAACAAAGAATGTCGATTGTTACTGGACGATGACGAGACCAGTACGATATTTGACAAAGCGGTCTAACTACAATTCGAAGCAGCAAAGCAGCACACCACCCAACTTGGGTGGGTCATAAATATCAAAGATAAGTAAAGAAAGGGAAGCTTTGCGAAAACGAATTGTACAAGCCGAAAGCCAAACTCCTACAGTACTCCTCATGCATGACATTGTGATGGACTAGTTGACTACAAAACAAGTTGTTTCACACGACGTACGTTTCGCCGTATGGTTCGTGACGGCTCATCAGGTGTGCAATTTGAAACTCGGATGTTGAGCCATAAATAAATGTGGAAGAGAAAAGGACATATGGATACGAGTTAAGAGTAACTCTCCATCACTGTAACACGATACTATATACAGTCAGAAAGTGCAATAACTAGGCACAAAACTGACAGAGTACTGAAACATTCGACGTCCTGACACCTAGCTTCAACACATCTCCGTAGCGCTAACCGACAGCCTTCCAACTTGGAAGGTTCAAGGTTATGGAAAAGACCAAAGAGGGGAAGGCAAGCGCAACGAAAACGAGCAAAAGCTACAGTCCCAACGGAACAAAGAATGTCGATTGTTACTGGACGATGACGAGACCAGTACGATATTTGACAAAGCGGTCTAACTACAATTCGAAGCAGCAAAGCAGCACACCACCCAACTTGGGTGGGTCATAAATATCAAAGATAAGTAAAGAAAGGGAAGCTTTGCGAAAACGAATTGTACAAGCCGAAAGCCAAACTCCTACAGTACTCCTCATGCATGACATTGTGATGGACTAGTTGACTACAAAACAAGTTGTTTCACACGACGTACGTTTCGCCGTATGGTTCGTGACGGCTCATCAGGTGTGCAATTTGAAACTCGGATGTTGAGCCATAAATAAAAGTGGAAGAGAAAAGGACATATGGATACGAGTTAAGAGTAACTCTCCATCACTGTAACACGATACTATATACAGTCAGAAAGTGCAATAACTAGGCACAAAACTGACAGAGTACTGAAACATTCGACGTCCTGACACCTAGCTTCAACACATCTCCGTAGCGCTAACCGACAGCCTTCCAACTTGGAAGGTTCAAGGTTATGGAAAAGACTGTATATAGTATCGTGTATATAGTATCGTGTTACAGTGATGGAGAGTTACTCTTAACTCGTATCCATATGTCCTTTTCTCTTCCACAGTAATATTTATGTTTTAGTTTTTCCAAGTTGAGCCATTCCCAGTATTATCCCTGATGAGAAGGGAACGAAAACGTTCGATGGCTGATGAGAAGCGCTTTTTGGATGGATTTGGAAAATTGCGTGAATGCATGCGGACCTGCATGTACATGTACATGTACCTTCGGTTTGAACAATCATTATTAGAAAATCATTATAATTATTAGGCGCATTGTCGGGCCTAATATGGCTATTGGCATATCTTCAGGCTCTTAAAGACCGCTAGGGGTGCTGATAAAATATGTTGATATGCAGTATTATGAGGTTACTACTATTTTTCTAAAAAAATTCTCATACTCTACATGTACATGTATATGTGTGGCTAGTGTGGGTCGGTCATAACGAGAGAGCTTGGAAGCTCAGGGCCCTACGCTATGCTTTTTTTGCCTTGATGACCTAGACAAAAAAAGCATGGGGATGTTATAAATTAAGAAAGGAAAAGGACATATGGAAACGAGTTAAGAGTAACTCTCTACCACTTTAACTAGATACTATATACAGTCAGAAAGTGCAACAACTAGGCACAAAACTGACAGAGTACTGAGACATTCGACGTCCTGACACCTACATGTATCTTCAACACATCTCCGTAGCGCTAACCGACAGCCTTCAACTTGGAGGGTTCAAGGTTATGGAAAGACCAAAGAGGGGAAGGCAAGCGCAACGAAAACGAGCACAAGCTACAGTCCCAACGGAACAAAGAATGTCGATTGTCACTAGGTGTTGGCGGATAATGCTCGGTAATATGGGATATAATGCTCTCAGTAATGCTCCACAAAAGGCCATATAATGCTCCAAATAATGCTGATAATGCTCCGCCGGATGGAATATAAACACCTGAACCTTGCGGTATTGGGCTAAGAAAAACGTTATTATATTGCACCCATGCTATGATAACCACAATACAATACCAGGTAAACATTGTACGCTAGGTACAAACACATACAGGCATATTGAGTCATACCGGTGCCAGCTAGAGCCTTCCCAAGTCGTTTCTGATACGCCAAGAAGGACTCCTTGACCAGCTTCTGCCTCTGAATTTCCCTCTCCAAACGGGACTTTCCTTGTTTGTGTCCCGCGGTAGCTATATGGGACATGATTACACTCTTCTTCCCTGACTATGTTGTATGGCATGCCAGGCACACTAATTACTTGCCACAGTCGCTTTTGAGCGGCGCGGCTCATCTGGGAACTCCCGCGCACGTGTTTCGGCACTGATGGCCACTTCAGTGCTCTGTCCATGAGCTACTCGCGTCCTTTTGGAAACATTTTCAGACTTGGTAACAGCTGTTTTCTGAAAAGACCGCTTCCTCGCTATCTGCAGTTTCCAACTCGACGACGTCACTATCATCAGAGGACTCCGCCAAAACTTTATCTGGAGAAAGCCCAGCTTCCTCCCAATCCCAAGAACGGCATCGTGGCGAGTCAGCCATAAGCGTTGGCTGCTAGTTAGCTGGTCTCACACAATGGTCAATGTCCGGTGAAAGTCCAGCGTTACTCTTCGACAAAGACACGACTCTTCCTTCGATGAAGAATGTTTTTTTGTAACATTGTGGACGGTAACCGGGTAAGGTCTGGAATGTGTGCGTGTGCGCACCTCCACCGTTCCATGCTGGCTCACATTTGTTTCGTTGGTTCGGCGCTGTTACCATGGTTACCTGGATCTTCAAAAAGTTAGTTTCTGGCCGAAGATAGACTTCCGGGACCGGAAGTTTCTGCGAGAGGTTCCACGCTGTGC